TTTACCATGGAGCCAGAAATGAGGTGGCCCGAATCTTTGGTCGAAATCGCCATACCATCGCCGAAATCTGGAAGCGTGCCAACGTATCAACTCGCACAAGGTGCCACACATGGGGAAAGCGGCACTCAAGAGGTCAGGGCTCCTACCTGAGACCGTCGCCTGTGGCCGCGAGGTGTTCGACGCAGGGTGTTCTTTGATGAGCCAGCATGATCTTGAGAAGGTCATGCACGACCTTGCCGTCGAAACAGCCGCCGAGTTGGAGATGATCGACATCTTTTCTGCTATCGAATCGCTTGGGATCAATGACGAGGACGTCGAAGTAGGAGTGTAGGTTTCGACACAAGAATCAAATGTATGTGAGTTTAGGTATGGAATGCCAATAATTAAATATATTTCTAGTACTTATTTAATTATAGAGGTGTCATTATGGTTCAGTGTATTTGTTTATTGTATTTCTGGGGGATGTCAAATGGCTGCTCTATTTCCGTCCTTCAACAATTTTGATATGGCTGGTCTATTTCGGTTTGGAGGTAGTATTTGTTGCTGGTCATCGTGGTCGTGGCTGAGTATAAAATGTTCTCTCTTCTACCAATTATCGTGGATAGGCTCTTCAATTCGGCAACACTCGTTGAGGGTAATTTTATTGCCGATACAAATATCAAGATATTTCTCCAGTACCGCTGCGGACATTAGAGAGGTTTTGCAACTTGTCCAGTCACGATCCAGTTGTCGATTTGTAAACACAAAATCCAGTTGGTGACAAACACAGGAGTTCGCCTGTGAAACTTTGTTCTGGAACCTGTGAGACTCAATCTCTATGCAGCAGAAATGGCGAAATGTGCGGAACTACTTCCATTCCCACACCATTCAAACGATAGGCTCCTGCAGCTTTGATGTCTACCCCGGTCAAGCGGCGCAACTACACGGAGGAACAAGACCTCATGCTGCTACGGCAAGTTGCGTTGGACATGCCGTTCCTCGAACGGCGGGGCTTGATCATGGACAAGTGGGGGTCACTGGCCGCAGTTTTCGCGGCGCGCATGGACTTTGGACGGCCGGATTGCAAAAAGGCTTGTAATAGGTTCAGCGCCTTGCTGTAGGGCCACCGCAAGAGCAACAAGTTGTCGGAGCAAGCGTCTGGTGTGTCTGAGGAAGTCAAAGAAATTACTCA